TATCATCTGAAAACAAATTAAGAAACATAGTTGCTTGAATGACAGTCAAGAAATCAGTTAGAAATTAATTGAGCTACCAAACTGCAAAACTGGAAGGAAAAAAAAAAAATTGAAATAACTAATGTGAAATAAATGAAGAAATTCAACAGAGTATAAAAAACAAAGGGTGTGTAACCATGCAACTCCATGGACAGTGACTACACACACAAGCAAATGAAAGCAGCTGACCACGTACCCACACACCTTGGCAGAGGTGCACTCCACACTCGTCGGCCACCACCAAGACAGATGATCTCTGCTGTTCCTTCCAGGCGATAACCCGAAGAGCATGAAAAAGTCAGAGTGTCGCCAACTCCAAAGTTGAACCCAATTCTGTTACCATATTGAGGAATTCCAGGATCTTCACAAGGTTCAAGGTTATATTCTGTAAATCAAGGGGAAGAGTTCCTCCCCCAAGGGTGGAGGAGAATAAAGTAAATTATAGAGGTCACATTTAAGCATGTATTTCTATCTCTGCAAACTTGATATTTTTTGAAGCATAGCCATGTAAAGACAAAGTGTCTAATTACAAGTCCATGTTGATGGCACACATAATATTTTTCTTTTGTGAAATATCCAATAGCTTAATGGATACTTTTATGCCTGAAATTCAATACAGCGAGAAAATGTCATCTCCTGAAAGATAAATTGAAAAGGTAAGTATTTATCTCACTCCTTCTTCTGCATTGGAAATATATTTTTCTTAGAGGTTTTACCTTAAAATAATGACATAACCAAAATGAAAACCAAACCCACTGCCATTGAGTCAATTCTGACTCATAGCAACCTCCATTGGGTTTCCAAGGCAGTAAATCTTTATGGAAGTCGACTGTTCATAGATACATAATTTGAAACACAAAATAACACTTGGAATGAATTTATTTGCATGTTTGAAATGCATTTTACTTAATACTTTTAGTCTAAATACAACAGCTCTTGTGCTTCTAGAACTGTAAGGAGTTCAATTAGTTCATATTTTTGAAAAATATGTCACTTCAAATGCATGAGATACATAAGGCTGAAGTACCCATATTCTGAACATTATTATATTACAGATTTACACAAGAATTTTTCCCCAAGCAATGAATGAACACTATAAAAATGATACTTGAGAGTATGAGAGACTAGAGTTCATTAAGCATCAAAATTATAATTTAGTCCTAATAAGAAATATCTAGCTAAAAGTACTTCTAGACCCTTAGCTTTGTAGTTGCAACAGAGAGCAAGAATTACCTCATGTTGATTAGCCATTGTTTCATTCTTTAGATGTTTTTACATTTTTTATATTAAAATTGATTATGCTCTTTTACTACTAATTATGGAACACTTTAATTTCTTGTGAGACAAAGAGTTTCCACCTATAATAATTCTAAAATAATAGTTTAAGAACATGATAAACATTTGCATGATTGTTGTTGTTGTTATGTGCTGTCAAGTCGGA